AAAGATGTTACTTCAGGCGTACGGCAGGAAAGATGCTGGCGTTCCTTAAAATGATTGAACCGATCTAGACCTAAAATAATAGAATTCCTTCTATCAAGATTCTGTATTTAGCTACACAAGACCAGTCACCCTTAGCTGACCTTCTGGATCATGTGACCTCTCACACCTTACCTGCTGAACCCTTCTCTCTCCGGCTGTTTGGGACAGGAATGTTGTTCTTTCTACAATGTTTGAAACATAAAATACAAATCAGTTGTGTAAAATACTCGGAAATCCCATTTTATACTACTGAGATTTAAAGTGGACTTATCATGCTATATTTAAATGATATATTGTAGGGCCATACCTATATAAGATATATTTATACGTTTCTGTTTTCAAAATACCAAACAGATCATGCATTTTAGCCATGCCTCATTTCGCTCTATTTGCTGTTCTCCAGCCCTGTTTTTGCAGGGGGCTGATTCTGTGAGCTGCAGCTGACCACGCCCCCCTGCAGGAGAGGGGAGCGTGCTCTCTGATCAAGTCAGAAGAGGGGGAGAAAAATAGATCTCCGTCCTCCGTGTTTTATTATAGCCTATTATTATATAGAGTCGTTATTCATTTGTTTTAAAGCTCAATAAATAACAAAGAAGACCTTTGACCGGCACTTTTCTAATTTTGTCCGGAATATTTCAACTTTAACGGACATCTTGACCGGAGAAAGAAAACCTAACTGAAACTCTGCCGCACGGTCCCCTCGTTCCTTGGAAGAGGCGGAGAGGTGGGTGTTTGTCATCTGCTGGTGGACTAACCGGAGAGAATTACAGTGGCTGCATCTCAGGTCGATTAAATGGAATCCTTGCGTCCCTCACTTGCGTCGTTTCCCTGCGACTAGTCCCTCCCACCAGGGAAGCATGGAGAGACGCAAGGAAACCACGAGAAGCAGGGAAATTAGTTTTAAGAGCAATGGGACGTCCTTTCCTCCGGAGCGTCACATGAAGCGACGTCCGTTTGTGATGACGCCGCACAGCTGTTCGTCTGACAGCAGCCAGCTCTGTCCCCGTTATTTTCACAAACACCCCCGCCTCTGTTAGTACACATTTACTGACACAAACATTTGTATCATCTGTTGTAGACCCAAATACATAAAATAAAATAAGAACTCATTCTCAAAAAAGATAAACGCCATTCTTAAAATGTATAAACGAACAATAGTTGGATTAATATTGATTAGAGTGCACAATAGAAATAAAATAATTGAGAGAAGAAAAAGAGATATATTATCTATCAAAACCCAGTTAGATTAACATTCATTGGATTGCACACTTTGTTTGTGTGGATATGTAGCAAATTAACATGTTAAATAGCACTTAATGACTGACTGAATGGAAATGACAATAAATGAAAATGTAAAACGAAAAAGCGATCATGAAAATGTTTTTTGAATAAAATAATTTTTGACCACTTTGTTGTTCAGATATATCACATATTTGTAACTGAATGATGCCTTAATTGAAACAAAACACAGTATACACTGAGGAGTGACTCCCGTGAGTTTCATGTGTTTTCTTCACTCCGCTGGGAAACTGCTCTCATGTCAAGAAGCATCAAATCAGTGCATGCGCTGCATCGTCCAATCAGTGAGCGATACACAGTAAGGGGGCGGAGCGAGTATCTGAGGATTTCACCGGAGGATGGTCTGGTGGTTCCTCGGTTATCGCTCCTCCATTATCGCTCCTCGCTCCTCGATCCTCGCTCCTCCGGCAGAAATAAGAGCCATGGGACGCTACTCAAGATGGCGCAGACAAATCAACTTCCAGTGATACCGAGGACCGAGGACCGAGGAAATGAAAATAGTCGACCTGAGACGCAGCCAGTGCTTGCCTCGATGGGGAGGGATTGCATTGAATTAAAGCAGGAGGAGCAAACGCTTGCCTCGGGGAGGGAGAAAAAAAGCCACAGCGGAGAATAAACAGAAGGGTAACCATGGTAACCATGCGCGGGAAGACTTCTTCGCTGCTTTTGTGGCAGACTACAGCGCCACTTACAGGCCTGGCATATGTACTACAGCGTCTCCAGCGCTTTTGTGCGGCAATGGCCGGCCGTGGCCCAACCCCACATTCCCCTGATAGGTGGAGAGTTGGCCCAATAGCCGTAGCGCCACCGTCCTGACGTCAGTAACGTGTTCAAATCTGGATCAGTTTTTATCAGATCCGTTGCAGCCCCTTTTTTAGAGATTTGGGTATGGAGGAAAATAGAGAGGGTTGTGTTTTCTGACACTTGGTGAGTTCCCTGGAACACCGGGGACACATATTCATGTATAAAAGACGTACAAAAGTGCATTTTGCATGATAGGTCCCCTTTAACTTAACTTCAGTGCCTCTTGGGGGGTTAAGTTGAACCATTGACTCAGTTTACCCCCAGCATGTGGCTCACTTTGCCCGACAGCCACTTATATGTGTTTGGAAATAATCTGTCTAGCTGAGTCATTCATGCTAATCTTTAGCTAAATGATTCACATGGTTTTACTCCTTGCTAAATAATCAAAATGTATGATACATATTTTCAGACCTGGATAATTTAGCTTTGACATAACAGTAATTATGTACTTTGACAAGCCAAACATGGTTTATTGTGAAAAAAACACATTTACCAGTTGACCATGTGCTTCTCTCCATCACAGCCAAATAGAAATGATGGGTGCTTCCTGAATTTATGGTTACATGTGCACAGTTCCCTAGATAAAGGGGGTGGGTCAACTTCCACACTGGCACAACTTACCCCACTCTCTCCTATCTTATTTGGTAACTCTTTGTTTAAAGCTCTGGTAACTTCTTGTAAAAATAAAATGGATCCGATCATAAGGAAAATGAACACAATAATTACATGAACTGCTTGTGTAACCTCGATAGTCTTGTAGTCATTTATCCAGATTTTAGAAAAACTTCTGCAAATTAACATGTCTCTATATTAACAACACAACATAAACACCATTTTTACTACACAATCACCATTGCCAAAATAAATCTAGATAACTGTATAATCATAAAAAATATAGAGAATCTGAAAAAAACAATTAATGATGAGTCAGTAACCAATGAATCTAAGAAATCTAGATTATTTACACACTGCTATCATAGGTTTATTATTTGCATTACATCAATATTATAATTTTTTTAAATCACAGTTATCATATAAACAATATATCACAAAAGCATTATTTGAATATATAACAATTAATTACATTCTCATCAAATATTTTGTTTGCTAAATCTTTGTTGAGTAACTATAACAATCAAATACATTGTGTGTAGTAAAACGTATAACTGAAGTAGAGAGGAAGGACAAAGTGCCTATAAATAGAAATACTAAAGTACCTCAGATTTGTTAAGTACTTATTTTAGCGCTGAAATGCATTAATTATTTGATTCAAAAACAGAAGGGGGGTGCAGGTGACTGAGATTTCACTACAATCCACTACAAAGGTGGTGGAGGAAGGGCCTGGACCGCTATTTAAAACACAATAAGGGTGTTTAATTAGTAATGACCTGAGTAAGAGAAGCCACACAGACACACACACACACACACACACACACACACACACACACACACACACACACACACACACACACACACACACCACACACACACACACACACACACACACACACACACACACACACACACACACACACACACACACACACACACACACACACACACACACACGATGAATGAGAGTCTCAGAGCGCTCTGACCTGGATGAGACGGATGTGAGGAGAGGGAGGACAGAGGAGACGGTGGAGACACAGATCAGGTTGCAGTCATTACCGAGGATGTGGCTCTGCTGCTTTCCGGAATAAAGACGGACAGAGTGGAAAAACATTTCTCCTCAAGAGCAACCCCCCCCGCCCCCAGTCCCCAACGGCTCATCTATGAATATGGAATCTCTCTTTGTGTCGTGTATTTAACAATTGTTTCCAGTAAGGATCGAATGGGGAAATATATGTATATGTTTTGCAGCATGTGTAGACATTTTAAATTCACTCTGAAATAGACATCTCCACATGGCCCTTGAAGAGAACCTTACAGTTTCATTCCTAATCTGTATTCTTAATGTTTTTAGAGGGGCGTGTGCACATATATCATTCAAAGCTTTGTTTATTCTGTTCGTTAAATAATTAGGGGAAATATTTGTTATGCAGACAGAGTGATATTAAGATATATTTATTAAAGTCCCTCAGTATCTTTGACTTTATCATGTCAACAAAACAAGAATTGGGAACTTGGCAAATGTTCAGATTGGTGTTCTGTTGCCAATTAGAATACATTTACTAAGTTACTGCCTAAGTTGCATATTTAAACTGAACATTTAAGGAAACGTGTAAAACATTAATGTGGAAATTGTGTAAAAGGGAGAGCATTTAGGGGTGATTTATATTAGTTAAAATATGTCCTCTTTCACCTGTAGTGTCTTCTCTACAGAACGATGCATCATCATCTGAATCCAGTCACTGAATTAGAGGTACGCATCTCATTCCATGCTTTTAAACTGAAATGATTCCCACTCTTTGATCGCTTGTCCCCGCTCGCTCCATCCCTGCACTGGTCTGTTGCCATGGAGACGTGTTGCCAGGTCTCAGACAGTGAGGCTGAATGGGTTAATGAGGAGGCGGGGCTTCTGCACCCTCCAGATGGTTCAGGCCTCCTTCAGCAGGTCTCCAGGGACTCCTCTCAGAGAGAAAGCCTCTCCTGTTTAACATTCAGACCCTCACTGCTGATCCAGGAGCTGTCACTGACCCTGCAGTCAACAATGTGGGATTATGGGATATGTGGGGGAAAGCTGGATCCTCCTCTTCAGATCTGTTCAACTGCGAAAGGCTTACTTAAGATCTTTTTTCTAAAGCCCTGATCTGATTAAGAGAGGAAAAGGACACATTCCGTCCCGCCGTCCTGTCAGAAAAGATGATAAATGTTGGCTATGACAGCAACTTTTTAATGTCATTTCATATCAACACTGTAAACAGTGTGTACATGTTATCTTTGTGCATGCAGGAAGCCATCTTAGCCTGTTTTTCTCGAGCTGAAGAACTGTGACACAGCACCCCCAAGAGCTCACATTCATACAGGACATGTTTATTGTTGCACCACAAGAGGAGAGTTTTTATAAGTGAGATAAAATAAATATTTCATTCACAAAACTTACAAATACAAAAACTGTAAGTGTAGAATAATAAATATTCTCTAAATAAATAAAATAAAGTGATAACTGTGCTTCACAATTATTGCAGATGATATATTTTAAGTACATTTGAATACACTTAAACAAAGATTTGTGATACCATCTACAAAGTTCTCACATTACAAATGTGCATGTCAACCATACAGTGAAATGTGTATTCCCAGAATTATAAATATCTTCTGGGAACATATTTGTCTCAGCTGAAGGCGAAATGCAGCTTAAATCTTTCAAGACTTCACTTTTACCATTCAAGATGTGCAACCTATTTATTCTATAATGTTAAATATACATACAATATTTATAGTCTCTATATTTGACATTCAATCCCATGCAACTAGTATCACTTAAATATTTAAAATATATATAGACTGGGGTGGAAATATATATAAAACTCATTTGTGCTTAATTTATTGTTTAATGTGCAAAGATTTGCAATGTTTGGTGAGAACTAATGTGGTGCAACAGTGCCCCCCGGTGGCCGCTGCGCTCTAAAGCCTTACCAAATGTGTCTGCTGCTGCAAGAGTTTATGTTTTCTAATGCAGGGGTGTTCAGCTGTTGGTGCTGATGCACATCTAGGTGTTAAAGACAAGGTAGGTGAAGTTCTCCTGCTTGGGTTTGGCGCTGAAGTTGTAGTGTCCGATGCGGTTCCTCTGGTAGTAGAACAGGCAGACGAAACCCATGATGAAGAAGAGCGACACGCCGATCCCCAGGCAGGAGAGCCCAACTAGATGAAGAGTGTCAGATTCCTCCTCCAAGGACTCTGGAAGAAAATGTGTTGGAGCATTAGAAATCATTAAACATACAGTGGAATGGAGAAACAAGTTGGAAAAAAAACGTTACTCTAAACATCAAATTGGTAAAGAGATGATTAGAAATAATGGGACTTTCATACGGCTCTTATAACAGCACAATCCCAAATAGCGGATAATAATGAAGAAATGTGTGTTTTCCATCCCGCTACCTTCGCCTGCCACTGCCATAACTGAACAGCTAGATTTTCACATTTGAAAAATGAGAAGAGAGACCGTTTATAATGGATTTTGCAGACAGACTAGAAGCTGTAGTGTTTTACTTGCTGGATGGAATTAAATCCCATTTGATCTAAAATGTATCAACAAAAATGTGTATTTTCTAACAGAACCACAATTGGTTTTTCTGTGTTAGAATACTGACCTTCATCTGACCTCAGCAGAGGCCCGAAGGAACCGAATGCTGTTCCAATTGTGTTTGAAGACTGAGCGGTTCTTTGTTGACAGTCCTGCAAGAAAACAGGAGCAGCAAGGGCACTGTGTTATTCTAGAATCATCCACTCTGTAGAAGCTGCAAGGCCGTATCTGAGTTTGAATAGCATGAACCCACAGGCACACAGGAACCAGACCCAGTCTCCACACAGATCTGGACCTGGCAGTGCAAGTAGATCACGTCCAGGTCGATGAAGGAGAATATCTGCACGGACACTCGGGATGTGCTGGAGTTCCCATTCATCAACACCGTGGTGTATGTGTTCAGGGAGCAGCTGTGGAGACAGGGACAAGGAACTCAAGCAATTATTTTTCTGCTTTTTTTTGTCTGCGTCTGAATTGCAATACAAGATTATTAAATGACAATCCCAAACAATATACAGCTCAACTAAAACTGAATTATCTTTTAAAGCTAAAAATACAGGAGACTTTCTCACTAAGCTGCTGTGACGTGTCATTGTCATTGTCATTGTCATTGTCATTGTCATTGTTGTCACTATAAAATATAGTTTTTACTTCAGGGTCTTTCAGAAAGATAGTGGCACCGCTTCAGTGTCATTTTCTTATTGTAAAGATTTGTCTGAAACCTGCAGGTTTGACTGCTGTTGTTCGTTTGCTTTAGTTGTTTTGTGTTGTTTTCTTTTAAACTGCACCGACCAGAAGTAGCACAAATTAATTCACTGTGTTCTTTACAATGACCATAACGTATTTATATTCTTTTTTTTCTTTTTCTTGAAATGTTGCAATTGAATTAAGTTTAATTAGAATTTGGGGGGAACAGAAATGTGTCTCCTTATCATCACATCATCACATGCTGAGTTTCTGTGAGCACAAATGTATCTGTTGGTTCAAACTGATTGGGTATAACTACACGTAACCATAGTGAACATGAAGAGAAGATCTCATGTATGTTATGGAACATGGAGCTGCAGCCAGAAGGGGTTAGCTTAGCTTAGTTTAGCTTAGCTTAGCTTAGCTTAGCTTAGCTTAAAGGGTGGAAACAGTCTCTCTCTGCTGAACATTTTGTATCTTGTTTAAGGAGAAAAGCCGATGTATAATAACGGCATGATGGTTTGACAGGGGTTACATGTTGGACTATTTCACTCCTGGAAACCTCACACTAATCACAAGACTGATTCAAATGTAAATTGAGATGTAATATTAAGATGTAGATTCAAGATTTAAATGTGTTGCTTAGATTCAGTGTTTAGATTTAAAATTTCAATTTCATGTTTAGATTTCACTTTAGATTTAGTTTTAAGATTATATTTACCAATTAGATTTCATATTTAAATGTAACTGTTACACTAAAGACAATATTGTTTAACATTAATATTTAGAACATTAGATTGAACTTGAACCCAAAACATTTACGTATTTTAAAACAAAAATCTATAAATACAGTAAATGTTAGAAATCTGTCAGCTCCCCTTATGCTCATAATCTAACCTCATGTGAGACCTGACCCTAAGAGTCTCTGAAGTAGTGGTGATACCAATGATGAGCAGTTACAATATTAGTAATAAAATGTATTAGATTCAATAAAAGGGAGAGAATAGCTATCTGAAATACTGATAGAAACAGAATAGGATAGTGCAGTGGGAGGAGCAGACCTGTTCTCCAGGAAGATGTGGCTGGAGATGTCCACAGGGTGTAGGGTGGGGGTGGCCCAGCATTTGTTGATGACTACTTTAATCTGCTGTGAGGAGGTGTTGAGGCTGACCTCCACCACCACCGCCTCCTCAGAGGACAGGCTGTAGTTGTGGGGCAGAGGCATGGTGCCGTTCATCAGCTGCACCGTCACCTGGAACTCCCCCGAGCCCGTGATGGTGATATCTTTGATCATGTCATACCTGGAAAAGGGTAAGAAATAAAATATAGGTCTACAGCCATAAATAAACAGGGCACAATTCAAAATCGTTTTAAAGAAGAGCTTTTTCTTAAATACATAAATGAAACTGCACTTAAAAAACCGAAACGTTGAATTAAATCTATTAAGTCAACGAATTTCACACTGTATTAGGTTAGTTGAAAGCAATGCTTTTAAGTTTAAATAACTAAACTAATAGTTATGTGAAATTTGTTGACATAATATATTGAATTAAAAGTCATGGTTTCAGTTTTTTCAGTTTTACCAAAACCTCTAAAGCTCACTAATTAACATGCAATTTTGTTTTTTTAAATTCACAAAACGTGTAGACATTTGCATTTGCTGTTAGGGCTCCAGGATGTCACTAATGAGCACTGGTTACTTTAAGAGCTTTAGAGGTGCTGAGAGGCTACATTTGTTTGATGGTTTATCAAGAGTCAGGCGAGCTACAGTATTATCCCCTGTTCCCAGTCTGTATGCTAAGCTAAGCTAACCATCTGCTGGCTCCAATTACATAATACTGTCAGTTCCTTCATCAAGACTGGTATTCATCTTCTCATCCAACTCTCAGGTGGTAACAAAAGGGCCAACTGCTTCAGCTGCTTTGGTACAATAAGTAATAAAGAATGACAGCAAGTGAAGCGTACCCCATAGAGCCGAAGTCAGCAGAGATGAGCATGCTCTTCATGTAGGAGCACACGATGGGAACCTCCAGCCGTATCTTGGGATTCTCCACTGTCCCACTGTCTGATGTGTACATGTCCATGGTGTTGAACAGGGTTACAGATGCCGTGTAGTACGTTTCATTCTGAAGAACCAGATGTTGCAAGCAGTGTGGGTTATTTTCAGAGTCAATCTCTTCAGTTTTACAAAATAAGGAGCATAGGAAAATGCAAAAGCTTCTTAAATTCAGAGGTGAAGGAAGTACTCAGGTCTTGTACTTAAGTAAAAGTAGAAATACCACAGTGTAGTCATTTACAAGTAAAAGTCCTGCATTCAAAATGTTACTCAAGTAAAAGTACAAAAGTATTAGCATCAAAATGTAATTGAAGTACCAAAAGTAAAAGTGCTCATTCTGCAGATTGGCCATTTTCAGAATTAATATATATGATATGTTTTGATTATAATTATTGATTCATTAATGTGTTATCAAATATGGTAAATGTTAATGTACTTTTAATTACTTATATACTGCAGGTGAATTTACTCCAGGTGTAACTACTCCTTTTTTAAGTGTTGTTTATAATTGACATTATTAATCAAAATCTGCAAAGTAACTAAAGGTTTTAAATAAATGTAGTGGAGCAAAAGTACATGATTTACCCCTGAATTGTAGTGGGGTAGAAGTACAAAGTAGCAACAAATTGAAATACTCAAGTAAAATACAAGTATCTCAAAGTTGTACTTAAGTACAGTACTTGAGTAGATCTACTTTGTTACTTTACACCACTGATTACATGCAACACTTAAAAAAACTCACATGCACAAGCCTGGTGCCACACTCATTCCAAGCCACGGTCAGCTGGGCGTGCAGGGCATTGCCTCCGTTGACGCCACATTCAGGCAGGCCCAGGTACAGGCTGCTCTCCCTGATCTTGTTGCTCAGGAGAAAAGCCCTGGAAACTGTCACCGTTATTGCAGCAACCCTGCACTGGACTGAGATTTCCCCCAGAGGAGAGGCACTGGGGGCAGTTCTCAGGGTCGTAGTAGTGGATGGAGGAGCTGTAATGGTGGAAGTGGGGTTGGTAACACCGGTTGAAGGGGTAGATGTCATGGATATCTTTGCAGAAGTGGTGATTACAGGGGCAGTCATGATGGTTGTTAGGGCATTAGGGGTGGTTGTAGCAGCAGTAAGTGTTGTTGTACGGGCAGTTGTTGGGGCAGTAGTGGGGATTGCAGTAGCACTAGGGGTGATTACAGGGGCAGTAGTAGGGGTTGTTATGGTAATGGTTGTTGGTGCTGTAGTGGTGGTTGCAGAAGAAGACATGGTGGATATTGGGGCAGTATTGGTGATTGCAGCGGCAGTAATGGTGGTTGTATGAGCAGCAGTGGTGGTTATATTAGCAGTAGTAGTGGTTGTAGGAGCAGTAATGGTTGTTGCAGGGGCAAAAGTTGTGATTGTGGGAGTAGTAATGGTGGGCGTTGGAGCAGCAGTGGTGTATATATTAGCAGTAGTAGTGGTTGTTAGGGCAGTGATGGCGGGTGTTGGAGCAGTAATGGTTGTTGGAGCAGTGGTAGTTGGAATGGTGGTTGTGGGAGTAGTAATGGTGGCCGTTGGAGGATTAATGGTTGTTGGAGGGGCGGTAGCAGTGGTTGTTGTTGAAGTAGGGGTGGTAGTAGGGGCAGTAGTGGTTGTGATTGCTGCACAAAAAAAAAAAACCTGGTTACACAAAGGTTACAAATTGCAAAGATATTCTGTCGGTACTAAATATATATTATAATCGTTGCAAAATGAATCTTTCCCACTACCACACTATGGGAGCGTACCGTGACAGGCTCGGCCAGGCCTCTCTGGGTTGTTGTCTAATCCATCCAAGCAGACACATGTGTAGGAGGCCCAGGTGTTTGTACATGTAGCCAACAGGGAACAGTCATTTTCTCCCATGGTACACTCATTAAAATCTATAAAAAAGACATGCATTACAATTAGTTTGTACTTGTACTTTACTTGAGTATTTCCATGTAATGCGACTTTAAACTTCTACTCCATTACATTTAAAAGGGAAATAATGTAACTTTATTTCACTACATTTATTTATTTATCAGTACATTTATTAAACAGTTTTAGCTCATTTTGACAAAATGCATTTCTAAAAATGTAACTAGTGGACTAACTCTTTAAGTCACAAAAGAGTCAAATTATTTAAATATTTTAAAAATAGACAATGAGAAATGTGCTTGTCTCCAACAGTAAAATTCTACTTGATGCAGAAAGATTATGTAGTAACAATAATAATATAATAATAATAATAATAATAATAATAATAATAATAATAATAATAATAATAATAATAATAATAATAATAATAATAATAATAATAATAATAATATTTAATAATGATAATAATATTAATCATAATAATACTTTTGTACTTTTACTTGGGTGCAATTTTGAAATCAGGACTTTTACTTGTTTTTTTACAATATTGTATGGTTACTCTTAATCAAGTAAAGCATCTGAATACTTCTTCCACCTCTGTTGTTTTTTGATACGACATAGGTTGTCTATAAGGCCCTGGTATGGGGTAGGATCCAAAAGTGTTGAATCCTACAATTTCCACAAAAGAACTCCATTTTGGTATTCCGTCAATTTTCAAGTCAATGCCTTTGTCTTTCAGAAAGAGTTAATAAGAGATTATAAAGATGACATACCATTTGTGCTTGTGTTGTTTTTATCCACTGTATATTTGGTGCTATTCATCAGGGAGTGCTGCAGAGCTGTGGACACATTAGCGATGTCTTGGCTTTCACTGGGGGCGAGGGTGATTGTAAAGTGGACGACCACACTCCCCTGGGAAAAGCTTGTGATCTCGATTCTCATCTGGCCTGAATCCACCATGGCCTTCATCTCTGGAGACAGAGACTGGTAGATCTGTAGGAGATAAAGTCATCAGCCCCACAGGAAGAGAGGATGAAACAATACAAATTGTTAATTGAACTATGGAAATTCATGGTAATGTTCATGTTTCCAGTGTATTCAAAGATTACAAGCTGTCCCTGGATAATACTCGTAACACACCTACCTCCTGTGTGATACTCTCAGTGAGGTTTTGGTAGGCCTGGCTGCTGCCGTTCTGCAGGTCAGCAGAGAACTCGATGTTGGTAAGTCGTGTTGTGGCTTCGAGTTTCTGAGCATCTACAAAGAAAGAAAGGACTTACTTGGTACACACATTACTGTCAGCACTTTCACCAGCCCTAGGCCTAATGCTTCAAAACTTATTTTCTTTTGTTATCCACACATTAGTCATTACAGGGAAATGTTATCGCATTAGTACTGCATTGGACCTGATTTTGGTTGTTGTATTATCTGTTTGCTGTTTTATTATGACACTCTCCTAGTGTCTTGTCTAGTTTCACTTCCTCTCTTTCTGTTTCCCGCCTTTTTGTGATTGTTTCCCCCTGATTCTATTCACCTGTGTCTAATCATTCTGCTGCCCTTGTGTTTTGCCTGCCCCCCAGCCGTATTGTATCGTTATGATTAGTTTCTGTGTGTATATCCCCAAGTCTTATGGTTCGTTGTCGATGTTTTGCGTCGTGTTGTTTTGCCTGTGTTCCAACTGCCGTCCGATTTGTTCCCTGTATTGTTTTGCTGCTTTTCATATTGCGTTGCCTGCCCCCTTAGTTTTGTGTTTATCTGTTGTCAGCTTTACTTCTTCATTGCAGATTGTCTTTGGTTATTTACACCCTTCAGTTTCTACATTTAAGTCCACCTGCTTGCCGTTCCCTGTGACAGTATTACGGCCCCTACACACGGCTGCGTGCGTTGAAGCTTCAACGCTTCTGCCCATTCACTTTGAATGGGGTGACGTCACGCTTTGCCGAACTGCATTGTGGGAGCAAAGCTTTGCTTTGCTCGCGTTGCTCGCTTCAAAAGTAGAGCAATGTTCTACTTTTGAAGCTTCGACGGAAGCGTCAGCCAATCAAATCATATGCCAGTAGCTCTAGCCAATCAAACCGCATGCTTGTGTGTCCGGGGCGGGAGATTCATGTGATTGGTTGTTGGTCGAGCTTCAGACACGCCCGCCGGCAAGCTTCAACGCACGCCGCCGTGTGTAGGGGCCGTTATGCCCAGTTAGTAACCAGTGGTTGCGTCTAAGTTGTGAACTCCCACCACACAGCTATTTTATGCCCTAACTGCAGCTTTATGACATTACTGTAAATGATTAAAAAAAAAGATCCAAAAGTCAAAGCTACTGGAACAGTCTATTTCTTTTTGGTGCACAGTTCTTACCAGTCTTGACTGATATATCTAAGGTGATTCCTTGTTGGCAGGAGCTGGGTGTGACAGCCACTGTGTAGAGAACCCCAGGCTGCAGATCCCTCACCTCCATCATGGTCTGACTGGTGACTCCTGAATGAATGACCTCTGACCTTTTGCTTAGGACCACCTGGTACGTCTGGTTTGTCTGAAACTGGCTGGACCAGTGGACACGAAAGGAGGTTCCAGTGACATCAGCTGCCCATACGCTGGTGATATTGGCAGGATCTGGAAGGTGGAGGTGGAGAGGGGGGGGGGGGGGATATGTATCGTTACATTCAGTCATTGTGGTTAAAGGAATAATTTGACATTTATTGTGAAATACAATTATTTCCTCTTGGCCGAGAGTTACATTGTGTTACTTCTTATTTTACTCTGAGAAGAAAGCGAATAAGCCTATTCTCCAAAATATCAAACAAAATGTTTCCTACAGCTAAAGGATCAATTTGAACAACAGATGTAATTAATGACATGCAACACATAAAACTGGATGTCTTATCAATGCATTTGAAGTTAAATGTTTTTGACTTAATCAAGTAAATCGAGTTTTGATGTTAACACAACTCGAGATAAAAAACCTTTCTTACAGCATGTGGTTGTTGGCAGCGGGGACTCTACAGTTGATCTCAGGCTGCTATAAGGTGCAGAACTTGTCCACTGCGGGGCGTTTGATGAATTAAAAGCGACGGTGCTTGTATTACTCGGAGCTGTAGGCATGCTGGTCCCTGTGGAGCTGAAGGAACCCTCAGTGATGTTCCTCACACGCTCCTGGGTGCTGTTGGAAGCTGAGATTGTGGTTGTGTTCATGGGTGGAACAGAGGTAAGACAGGGCTCTGGAGTGGTCTCCACCCTGACAGCTGGGGAGAAAAGAGACAAGTTGATCTAAGCTTCTGATGGTGGACTTGAATGCATCAGTGGTGATGACAGAATGTTCCCACATTAAATGTAACATGAATTCCCTTGTTCAGCAGTTTCCAGTGGCTTGAGGAAGTACTTTGGCACATGTTGTGTCCTCCTATTGTGTATCTACCACATTTGAAAAATGACCTGCGTATTATGATTCTACCCTAGCACAGGATTTCTGTATTTGATGACACATTTCTTGATAGTGTTTTTTTCCTGGATGTGCCTTCTTTCCTGTGTCACACCTTTCAGCAAGAGAATCTAAGGACCTTTCCACATGATGTGACCCTGATCAGAATATAAAGCTAGAGCCTAGAAAACATAAGCCCACAAAAATACAAGAATCGTACTCAAAATCACCAACGAAAAAACTTAGCTCTAGCTAATCATTAATTATCAAATCGTTAACAAACATCCTTAGCCATTGCACAGGCACAGAATAAATATCTTACTCAATTAGCTATATGAATACATTAGCAAAGAATATGGAAAATAATCACACTGTAAATCTCCACTGGGGATGGGGGGGTGTATCTGAGGCAGGGGTGCCACCAGGGATTTTGGGCCCCATGAAAAGATATCACATTGGTTACTTTTTTTCTTAATGTTCTAAAATTGTTTGGGCCCCTGTCAGTCACGGGCCCTTAGAATCGTCCTAACTTTTCACCCCCTTACGGCGCCCCTGATCTGAGGCTGAAGTTGTGTGTGCTTCACAGGCAGATTTCGCCTCAGGCCACAGAAGCTCACCCACCCTCTTGGTGGAGGTTGTTGGATTTTTCTCTAACTCCTTTGAATTTGAGGTAAAACATAATAATTAAGCTGATTTATTTACTGATTATCCCTAACACATTAAAACTGGCCAACAATCAAAGATAACTGAGTAAAATAAAATGCTTGTTGTAGTAAAGACAGAAATAAACTACTTTTCTTTTTACTTTATTTTGGAAATGTCTGAATGATTTAAGTACCATAACAACATTTATATCAGGATTTGCGCATTATAATGCAGCAGTTTATGTGGCTTTTTGTAACATTATATGGAATGCTTGATACTCAATTTAAGCATAATTATTTAATTATTTAACATCATAATGTATTACTTTTTTGATTCAATATTTTTGGGGATTTATCTCTATATATTATCTGTACAATTTGTAGGTTATATTAGGAGTTTTTCTCTCAAAAGTATTATTATACATTTGAAATACAACAAAGAATAAACCAACAAATAATAATGTACCAACATCTGTATTTGCAATACTAAGGATGTAACCATAATGTCTGGCTTTGGAGTTAAAATCACTTTACAAAACATAGTAACTGGTATCAAAGTAATGGGACATGTATGATATAAGGGGAGGGTTTTGTGGGATAAAAAAGTAACAAGTGAATGCTGTTGGGGTGTTATGAATCTTATCAATGGATTGCTGTAGATAAGTAGATATATATGTGTATTGTATGCAACACACACACAGTCTAACCTGTGCAATGGGCTCCAGGGTTACTGGGGTCCACATCTACATATCCTTGGTGGCAGGAACAGAGGTAGGAGCCCACTGTGTTGTTACAGTCGGAGTGGGGGGAGCACCCACGCAGAGCAGACAGTGCACACTCATCCACATCTGCATTACAAACACACACAAACATGTTACACTGCATTTTAAATAAGAGTCTTAAGAGGAACTACATTTAAACTGTGCAATATGAACACATACAGTATATTGTTTTAGAAAATCTATTGTAAAGGTTTCATTTAAGAATACTGCTTCACAACGTTGACTTTAATTACATGTATTATGTCAACAAATTTCACATAACTGATTTAGGTTAGTTGAAAGAAATAATATTAAGTTGTACCTAATATTTTGTATTTAAACTTATACAGTTATGTGAAATCTTGGCATAATACATTTTATTCAAGTCAACATTTCAGTTTTGTCAATGTACTTGAATTGATTCCCTTGTCCTCTCATATGTTTGATGTTATGACAAGCTTGCTGTTGTGTCTTTTGTGCAAATGTATCAAGCATGAAAAGTGTGCGTGGGGTTGTGTGTGTGTGTGTGTGTGTGTGTGTGTGTGTGTGTGTGTGTGTGTGTGCGTGTGTGTGTGTGTGTGTGTGTGTGTGTGTGTGTGTGTGTGTGTGTGTGTGTGTGTGTGTGTGTGTGTGTGTGCACTCGCTCTAGTGTTATTTTCCGCTGTAGCAGGAAAGATGACTGTCACTCAAATGGAAGTGGTGGGAGAAGCAAACTGTGGTGCGACTGAGTCATTCTTTCCTGAACACCGTGTTCTCTGCAACATGAATCACTCTCACAACTCAACAAGAATGTAATTTCTCTGAAGCAAAGGAAAAAAAGCCTGGAGTATCGTCACTGAGATTTGCTGCTGCTGCGCCCTCACCTTCCACAGTTACAGATGACACTTCCTGTATGTGTTTGAGGAGAAGATGCAGCTCCGACGTGACAGTGTGCAGTGAAAGAGTCAAGTTGCAGGCAATCAGTATAGAGGTGGCCGTTCTGAAGGGATGCACAGGCTGTGAGCTGAGGTAATAAACTGTAACGTCAGACTGCAGTGCTCCAGTCACCTGTTAGTGGTAGAGATACAAAATATAATCTGGGTAACATTATTTATTTTGTAAAGAAAAATGACTCAAAACTAAGGGGTACACTGAAAGAACTGAAACGTTGACTTTAATTAAATGTATTATTTCAAAAGATTTCACACAACTCTATTAGGTTTGTTGAAAGCAATAATATTAAGTTGAACCTTATATTTTTCATTTAAACTTAATATTATTGCTTTCAACTTCAAATCAGTTGACATAATACATTTAATTAAAGTCAACGTTTCAGTTTTTCAGTGTAGACGCCTTTATATATATTTGAGTCTTTGTCGTGTTCTAATAATCAGAATTGGTAGAACAAGTATTAGTATCTGGCTGGCGTTCTTGGCAGCAGATAAGCAGCAGCAGAACCAACAGCTGCAGTTAAAGCAGTGTTATTAGCAGCGGTATTACCATCGCCTGGAGCAATCGTGTGTGATCCAGAAGTCCTCTGTCAGTGGACATCAGAGGCTGGTAATCTGTCTTCACTGTCACTGTTGCATTAAACCGATAGCCTCCATTATCAGAATAATATGTTGAGTCTGTAAGTTAAGTTCAAAAGGTCAGTTCACTCAAATCATTAAGAAAACATATGTTCTCAATTAGGATCTACAATAGTGGAATGTAAGAAAATTATTAATTACTGTAGGAATTTTGTATGTATCACTTTAAAAAAAAAAAAAAGACTTCCACAACTTTGTAATAAACCTCAATTTACTGACACCATGTAGGCCAAACAAAGAAGAGTGCACAACAGTTTGTTCATATGTCAGTGCCTAAAGGATCCAAGTGCAGTCAAAAGCTGGATAAGACATTTCAAAAAGACTCTGCTCTGTAAATAATATCAGACTTCCTTTTCTCCAGCAAAAAGAAAATGAACAAAACCCTTTATCATGTTTGTAACGTCCCTATATGAAGTAATGTTTGCATTCTGCCCTGGTTTTAAGATAGAAGTTTGGGGGGAAATACAAACAAATGTTGGGTCACAGAGAAGTTTCTTTTCAATTATTAATCATACACCCTACAGGGCTATTTCTTTGGTATAGGGGGGTCAGGGGTTTATCCCCTGATAATTGGGACATATACCTAAAAATACTTGTTTTATAAAGTGCAACAGTTTTTTTCTAATTTATCATTCAAACTCAAATCTGTGAAAAAAAAAAAAAACCCTAAAGCATTCTTGAAAAACGAATAATGAAAAATATCAACTAACTTGCAGGATCACTGCAGACGTAACGACTCTGACAGCATTTTTGCCAGCCCGGGCAGTCAATGTCCCACTCACAGCCCTCAGATCTGTTATACACTCCATCTGCAGTTGGACAGGATCCTGGCTTGGCAGTGAACTCATCACTCCTGTTTACAGCTTCATTCAGAGGAAATAACATGTTACAGGCCATATATTAGCAGCCCGATATTTGGAGCACTGCAATTTCTGTGCCTCCATCTGGCGTCTTGCACACAGCACCACGCGCTGAAAGGTCATCACTTGTCTATCTAGAGAGTGTGATGCTATATTATCACATTTTATTAAATGAAGATACTTGGAATTTAACAACGTTTTTTGCTCTTTTGTAATCTGATGACAGTACTCACACAGGGCACAGTATCGACCCACTTGTACGTGGCCGGGGCAGCATCGGGTCACCTGCTGCTTCACTGTCCTGGTCTCAGTCTCATGGGTCATCCTGTAAAGTGTGACTGTACATGTCTTCCAGTGGAGCCAGCCCCCACAAGGCTTCGTCACAGTATAGGGGACCGCGTGCATCACCAGTAAACTCACATTCCTTGTCTCATTATAAGTACAAAGACGATAGCCAGATGCAGACAGGCTATTTCCTAGAATAAAAAAAACATGTAAATCTTACTGCTGAGTTTCCTTGTAAGTCTGCATAATAACGTCAGATTTTGCGTTTTTAATTGCAAGGATTTAGAGTTGCTCTTTAAGAATAACACAAGCCTAAATCTGTGACATTAAACATCTTAAAAACAAATGAAAGCAGGCAAAACAATTAGCGTTAATTTCCCATAGATGCTATGTTCTGTACAACAAATGCATGTTAATCTGCGTATAGAGGCCTACCTTCATGCTCAGTGTGTTGTCCCCTACAGAGAGCCAGCAGGGCCGTCGCCACGCAGATGGAGAGCATCCAACTCATTTTTCACAGATCAAAATCTCGACCATGTATTTAAGGACCACATTGTACGTGCATGTTTTTCTTTGAGATGATGCTAACTCACTGTTCAGGGCGTTCTCAAACACTCAATCCTCTGTAGCTGTGTTTCTCCTCCCCTCGGTGCACCATCAGTCCCTAATGGACTACAGAATCATGACAGCCAGCAGGTTAGTATTACATGTATGAGAATATCTGGAGTATCATTAGTCAGTGCAGTTAAATGACATTAAGCTTTGCAAGAAAATCTAAATGGTTAGATAATTTGACACCTTTCATTGCTTCGACATATGCCGTGAATGAGCCAGTGTATTACAAAATGAAAAGCCTTTGGTTTACACGATTTTCACAAAGGAAACTCAGGCTTCAGTTTTAGTTTTGTAGAATAAATAAGTCGTTTTTTTATGGGGGTGTCAGTAAACATGTTTATGATGGCAGGGACAGAGACATGTGATGGGAGGAGACAAAGTCCCTAATGACTTGGTTTCCACACAGGTAGCCATGGCAGTGCTCTCTACTGCTGCTAACGGCCAGTACCAGCCATTAATGTCAGGAGAGGAGGAGTGACAACTTCCTTCCATTTCCTCTCATGTGTTCTCTCTCATTATATGATGGAGCAGCAGCATGCTTTGGCTGTCAAATGTTCTTAAAAAAGACTATGTCAGGATTAGGATTCTGTCATGACTTTCATTTTATATGAATATACATTTGCATCTGATGAAATACTACAGTCCTCAGTATTATTTTTAATATTTTCATGTATAATTTTGCAAATGAAGTCCTTAATTTAATGCTGATCCTTTTATAGAAATGAGGTGTGAAAATGTGCTTGATTAAACCTCCTTCAGTCATTAGGTGATAATGAATGGGTACATGTTGATGCGATGGAGCATGTAGGGAGGTTCAGGGCTACAAGCTGAGTCAACAAATGTGTCCACAAATTAAATACAGTTACACCACAAAATAATCTTCAGCTCATTAGAACATGGTTTTATGTCGATTTCCTGCTTTTCTTCAGCAATGTCCCACCTGGTTGGGTGTAGCTGTCAATGCTTTTCAGGAACCAACGTGTTGGACATAAACATAGCAACAGGTCCCTCCTGGATGCCAGTAATGACACACACTTACTGCTACGCTAAGATGACTTCCATTTAATCACAGGCCTAATTGGTTTCATTGGGGTTTAGAGAAAGTGCAGTTGCACATATTATATCTGCACGTTGTTGGATACAGAAAAATAGGTAACCCAAAAAAAAGACTGTGACCTAAGATTTTCATCGTCATAACTGTAGCTATGTAGTAGTAGTATGACTAATAAAAAAGACTTCAAATGTATATTTAGATTTGCTAAAAATCTAAAGATGGACTTTGGTTATTTGAAATGCATAAAAATATGTGCTTTAACTGTACATTACTTTTTTTGATCAAGTCCCCACTTGCTCCTCCCTTGCACTGTTTACTGTAAGACATGTGACTTCAAACTTCCTATACTTAGTTTCAACAATGCTTATAATTAATAATTACAACGCAGTGCTCTAGTAAAACAGTGTCAATTACAATTTTCAGTGTAGCTTAAGTTTGCAAACCTTTGCTCATGATAAAACAAAACATAGAAAGGAACACAGACGATGACAGCTAATGTGAAAAATACCACCTATCTCTTTAAATTAGCTTCAGTGACAAGTCTTCAGTTGGTCCCGCCTCCTGGTCATTTTACCACCCAATCAGAGCGCAGTGCACGTGACGAGCGTTCATTGCGATGACCTCATCCATGGTGTGGGATGACGTCAAATTCAAGATGGATGGAATCACGACCAGCGCGCAGAAATCTACACAACAACACTGAATAAAGTCCCGGCTGTGCGGAGGAAAGACCTAATTGACGACGGGCAGGGTAAGTGTAGATAGACTACATAACTTACCTTTAAACAGAATTAGTAGGCATGTTATAGCATAGTTGGTAGAGTGCTGTTAAGGAGAAGCATTTTCCTTTTCCTCCCTGACGTAACTCGAAAGGGGGCTTGTGCTGCTGAGACCTGAACACATATTCTGCAGCCAACAACTACGCCATGTCACGCAGGGTTGAAGCGTTAACAATAAAAAACACCACTTCCACCGGGGCTTGAATACACTCCCCTTAAACTCAACAGCTTTTCTGTCTGCACCGACTGTATTTTCATTCCGGGATTACCGCGGAGGAGTCCATTGAAACGTGTTCAACTTCCCCCCCCACCTGATGAGATAGGAGATAGAGCGGCGGAACCGTTTTATGGTCATTCACCCACACACAATGAGAAACTCGTGACTGTTTTCTGAACTGAAAGTGGGATTTCGGTTGAAGAAGTTATGTGTCATGAGAAATAGAGCCACGTCTCATGTATGATATAATTATGAAAGCCTCACTCCAAGACTTCCTCATAGAATACTGACAGAAGTGAAATTAGCTGTTCTTTTAACGTTTAAATTGTGCTGAATAGACAGTCGAACGTGTGCTAGTTTTGATGAATGAATGAAGCTTCTGCCCACAGCCTATTTTTAGTAAGTGTCAACATAAGTAGCGCGCCTTCCGGTCAGCACTTTCAAAATAAACTTCTTAAGAAGTGTCGTATCTTTAGATAATTAGCACCAGATGCTCCTGCTAGAGGCGTTGCACACAATGCCTTGAGGTATTTGGTGTTGCACAATCATTGCAATTGATGTCTTATTACTGGATAATGAATCACTTTAATTTGCCAGATTATAAGTGTTGGTCACCTACCTATTTCAAACTGCTCTCTAACAACAGCCCTCTTCCAGTGGGAAAGACATTTCTCCATGGTTTACTTGAGTGGAAGTACGAATACACAGTGGTTTAAAGTAACCAGTAGCACAATTACTCAACTACTGTACTTAACTACAATTTTTGAGGGACTTGTACTTTAATTGAGTATTTTAATGTTTTGCTACTTTGTACTTAACTATCCCACTACAATTCAGAGGTAAATAGGGATGGGTATCGTTAAGATGTTAACGGTACTACTACTCTACTATACTGCTGATCGATCTGGTACAATAAAGATATTTTTTAAGGGAAAAACTAAACAATTGGAAACACAATTAACATTGCTTTTTTTTATGTATAGTGTGAGATTCTAGAATGCTAGCACACATAACATACTGTACCTGCAGTGGTGGTATGTAACTACGTAGATTACTGTACTTAAGTACAATTGTGAGATACTTGTCCCGTCCGTTACTTAAGTATTTCAAGTTTTGCTACATTGTACTTCTACTCCACTACAATTCAGAGGTAAATTATGTCCTTTAACTCCACTACATGTATTTAATACCTTTAGTTACTTTACAGATCTGGATGAATGATGTGAAATATAATCAAGTCTTAAATCCGACTTTAGTTCTACCTGGAGTAAATTCACAAGCTACCCTGCAGTATACAAAGCAGGGGTAGAAGCAGGGGTAGAAGCAGGGGTAGAAGTGGTAAAAGTGGTAAAAGTACCAGGTGTGAAAGCGCCTATAAGGGTAAAATTCCACATTTTCAATATCACTGGCCCAACCATTGTAACCACTGGCCCAGGAGCATTCGTCAAAAGAAATCGACTCTAATAATGAAGAACATTTACACATTTGTTGCAATAGTAATTTATTCACAAAGTACATTACTACTCGTCACATTACTCCCTGTCACTCTCCTTTAACTCCTCCGGTGACTTTCTTCTATTTGAAGATATATTTCTTCCCCGACGTTTGGCCTGTTACCGGTGGTTTTAGGCAAGGCAAGTTTATTTATATAGCACCTTTCAACACAAGGCAATTCAAAGTGCTTTACAAAAATGAAAGACATTAAGAAAATGGCATTTAAAAACAGTCATTAAAAAGCAAAGATAATAAAATAAACATTAAAGGAAAAAATACATGAATAAAAGTTACAGTGCAGTTTAAGATATGAATAGTTCAATTAAAAGCAGCGGCAAAAAGAAAAGTCTTGAGTCTGGATTTAAAAGTAGTAAGAGTTGCAGCGGACCTGCAACATTTTAGAAACATTTTGGCGAATGGTTAGGTCCCGCGAAAAGTCAGCAGCAAACAGCTCTCTGCCTTTCATCCAATTACGACATCCGCCTCACCAATCGCTATGTTGTAGCTCTAATTAAAGAAACAATTTTACAAAACTGCTTTTCAAAATACCAATACCACAGGACAATGTGAATTTATGTCTTACTGTTTTGTTTTCTTTAAGCAATATTTGTAGTGGCCCGACAAGTGGTCAGCCGGCCCGAAGTGTTTCATTTCATTTAACATTTATAATGTTGAGCCCTGCAAAGTCATTCAAACTAGCTTTACCAGCTTTGAGAACACTTTAATGCATCAATAATTATAATCAAAACATATCATATATATTATTCTGAAATGGACCAAATCTGCGGAGTGAGTACTTTTACATTTGGTACTTTTAGTACAATTGTGATGCTAATACTTTTGAACGCATTACTTTTACTTGTTACAGAGTGTTGTTCCTACACTCTGGTACTTCTACTTTTACTTGAGTACAAGATCTGAGTACTTCTCCCACCTCTGCAACTGCATGAATGTCAATATTCTCGATTAAGTACAAATTAGTATAGCATTATCAGAAACATGTACTGTAACAATGTCTCATTTCTCAGCCGATGCAGATGTTTAGAGTCACAATTTTGTGACGATGCTGATGTTTTTATGAACAGTTTTTTAGCCCTTTTAAACACTTTCTTTGAATGTGCACACAATCCTAAAAATAGTTTTTACAAAGACACAAGTTTTACAAGTTTACTCATTGAGGAAACTTGAAGTTCCAACAGTCAGTGGTTGCTTCCTCACAGAGAGGAGAGGAGACTCCCTCTGAAGGATTTTAAAGTTATGGCAGACCCTCAGTGTTCTAATCCTTCAAAAATGATGCACAATGTTTATCTGAGAAGTAAACGACTTCAAAATAAGCAGAGCAGCATTTTCATACTGCTACAGTATCATGATATGCCTATAAACTAGCTGTGTACAGTATAGCCCAGGTGACCATCAACAAGTCAAAACAAACATTTCCAAAGCCTTCAACTTACAGAAAAACAATATACAATCGCTTGTTAGACTACAAACAGACCAAACAAAGTTATCGCAAAGT